ATATATATATATATATATATATATATATATATATACAGGTAGATATGTGTATACAAGGGTTCTTTTGCATCCCAGTGCCCACTGTGTGTGCATCACATACCAGCTGCGGATGCTGCGCCCTCCTGGCCCGTCTGCAGCATCAGGGCCGCCCACTGGGCCGCATCGAACCGCCTCGGCAGTTGTTGAACCTCTTGTCCTGCAGCAAAGAAACGTTTATATTCAATTCGACCCATGGCATTCGCAATTACATAGGACCTGGGATTGGCACGTGGTCAGTGCAGACGTCTATCTTTTTCAGAAATTTAGCCCCGCTCATTTGAGTAGACCCTTGCAACAACAGTTAAGTAATTGTGAGAAATTAGGCTAATGTGGGGCTTGATCGCTTGCACTGTTGTACTAAACGTTCGCCAAAGGCTGACCTGGAGGTGTCACCACGCAGAGTTCCTGCGTTAGTTTCTGCTTCGGATTAGATGCAGAGCGCAGCGCGTTCACGAGCGAAAGACTATTTAAAGGGAACGTAAGATTCCAGTGGGACAGCATCCGGTCAAATGCTATTCCAGGCTTGGTGATTTGCCGCATGTACTCAGCGTAACGGAGAGCAGCACACAAGGCCGCAACAGATTTGTCGGATTTGAGCTTTTTGTGTGCTGCTTCGGCCCAAGCACGCAGCCCTCCTTCCTGAGCCAGCCAGTTCCTTAAACCCCCAGCCATTGTACTGGGAGGCACCCGTTTTCCCCCAGCGCGAGAAGCTGAGCTGAAGATCGCCGCAAGCGCTGCCGCTGCAGAGACAACCGCGTAGCAGAGAAAACACGAAAACATCGGCAAGCGCCTAGGCATAGACCGCTCCACTCAGGAGCTTTCGAGTCTCTGCAAGGTCTAAGTAACAGCATGAACAGAAAGCTGTCGTTTCATCCCCATCTACAACTTCTGTGGCAGTATACCAATCTGCCGCTACTTACTGATTTGGGAGCACATTTTATGATGACCTGCAAACAGCGCAAACGTGCATGGTTTATCGAGTATGGAGTAGACATAGACATATAGATATAGGTGCAGATGTAGATATACAGATACATAAATATATAGATATAAATGCAGATATATATAGATAGAGATATAGCTTCTGTGTTCTAGGGTTCTAAGCGACTTCAATTTGTAGGTGAGGAGGCAAGGGGGGATGAGGAGGGGCATGCTTTGACATACGTAGCCTTTTTGCCGCTGTCCTGGACAGTCCACCAAGTGCCAGCAGCAACGGAGAGCTTGTTTCTGGGCTCTTGCGAAGAAGGACGCACTTTGCATCCTGTAGGGACCTCCCCAGTACTTCAGCTGAGGCGCAGACCTCTATGGCTTTTGCCTCATTTTCAGCAGCTTGCAGCAGGGGTTGAATTCCTCCAAGGAGGCGATGGGAAATGGCTGATACTTGTAAGTTCAGCTGCACGCTCGATGTTACAGGTGAGTTTGCTGAACACATCGCAACGCATCAACAGCGGCAGGAGCCAGCCAATCAAATTTGTTTTAGTGAGGCGATCAATCTGCAGACTTTTAAGATGCGAAAAAGTCGGAATTTATCGAGTTTACTCACGTGTTGGAGAAGCCAAAGGTGTGCCGCCTTCAATTTCCTTGGCTGGAAAGCAAACGCATCATCACACGGAGGAAAGAAACTGCCATACTAGGTAAATTCCACCTGCTTCTGCTGGAACGTTACAGTTCTTAACATGTGTTCGCAAACCCGACATGTTGCAGAAGGCTCAGTGTGTAACATATGGGGCGATAAGACTAAACGCTGCTCTTCGTTTCTTGGCTGCTTTGGTCTTTTGGCCCCGGGGGACGTGTAAGTCGCCCTAAGCATT